TCACTTCCCAGCTTCCTGCCACACCCTCAGTATATCTTCCTCTGCAAACCCACAGGCTATTGCCATGTGGAAGTGTTCCCGAGTAACTATTGAAAGGATTTTCTCATCTTCTCTGATCCCTTCCTGAGTTTGGAGGGAGAAAAGTGGGCTCATGACCCCCACAGTGCCCTCTGTAAAGTGGTATCTGCTGTTTATTGAAAGAGAAGCTCAGCAACTAGATAATTTTTCCTGTTGATTCCATATGGATGACCTATAGCAGGGGTGGGGAATATCCGGCCCAAGGGCCATGTAAGGCCCGTGAAATCATTTGGGCTAGCCCTGCCAATGCATTAGGGGTGAGTTAATTAAATGACCAAATATAGCAGGCTAATTTTTAAGTTGATAATTTTGAATGGCCCACAACTGATGTTATAAATATCCAAATGGCCCTTGGCAGAAAAAAAGATTCCTCACCCCTAGTCTATAGAATAAAAATTCCAAAGTTCTTTTCTTGCTTTCCTGATAAGAACTGCTGGTCCTGTTGTAGTCTTAAGGAAAATATAGTTGTGTCCCCTTCAGTACACTGCAGTCCCCTCAGATGCAGGACCCAGGCATCCCTGTGTAAAGAAGAAAGGGTACAGTACCATTGACCAGCTGCTGAAGGAATCCATGCTCTCTCTGCCCCACTCTCCTCCCACACTAGTGCGAGAGGGAGAGTTTTGAATCAGTGTTCAGAGGCTTCTAGTATTGCCTGACTCCAGTTCCTTCAGATCAGCACAGATGAAGCGATTATGAATTATGTGTCTTGAACAGAAAAAGGAGAGGCAGTGTATGAACCAGATTTATAAGCTATTGAAAAAACACAGAATATGCTATGAGTAAACCCAGTCATGGAATTTGTAGTAGAGAATAGATGTGGCACTGTTAAACTGGGCTTTACTTCTCGCCCTGTCCCCACAATATTTTTAATATTGTTTGAAAAAAATTAATACAGAAAAATCCAGGTAATAATGTAATATTCCCATTTACCCACTGCTCAGAGTTTACAAAGTTGACTTATTTTTTTAGCATATTTGGTTCAGATATTTGTAATAAATAAAATGTTACCAATAAAGTTCAAGTTTGAAACATCCTTGTTTCCCTTCTCTTGTCAGCCTCTATAGAGACAACCATTATGAATTTGGTGTGTATTCTTTCAGTCCATGATTTTATGCACTTATGATATATATTATATATGACATATACAAATCCATAATATTGATTTGTTCCTGTTTTAAATTTGTGAAAGTGGAATCACTTTCTTCTTTCCTTCCTTCTGTCACTTGACATTGTAATGATTTAGTATAACTTGCTTAGTTATATTGTGATTTTCAATGTATTTGGACCTTTTCTAATCACTTATCTTGTGGTTTATATTTATCATGTATTTTTCCTTGCTTTGTTTTTTTCTTCCTTGCCTTTTATTTGTGAAATTTGCTTATTTTCACTGCTCCTGACTTGAAAGTTTATAGATCCTATTTCTTGTCTTAAAAATGTTAATGACTGTCTTTAAATTTTATTTTAACAAAGCCTAAAATTGTTCTGTCTTTATTGTCCTTGAGAACAAAACCAAGACCTTTGACTTCTGATCTATTCTACTCTCCTCTTTTGTGGTGGTTATTGTCTAGAACTGTGCTGTCCATTATGGTAGCCAGTAGCTTTATGAGGCTATTAACCACATAAAAAAAATAAGCTCAGTTTTTAAAACTTTATTTTTAATCTATTTAAATCTAAAAAACTGATATTAGATTCAGTTATTGGAAATTGTAATATGTTTGGAACAACCTGGATATGTAAAATCACTATAAACTTTATGAACTTTAAATACATAAATAGGTGTTCCTGGTGAAAACTTAGCACTTGAACGAAGATGTGTTATGAGTATAAAATACATGTCAGATTTTGAAGATTTAGTACAGAAAAGTTTGTGTAATATTTCAAAATTTTATGTTGATTACACATTGCAGTGATAAAATTTTAGATATATTTAGTTAAATAAAATATTGAATTAATTTCATCTACTTTTTATTTTCTCAATGTGGCTATTAGAAAATTCAGAATTATATATTTCTATAGAACAGCACTGATCTAGGATTTCTACTGAAACTTATAAGCTGATGTCCTGACCTGCTTTCATAGCACAGTACCACACTAATCCCAGGGTAAAAATCAGTTGGGTTGCTCCTGATTGTGGATTTGTTACCTGCTTGTTAGTACAGTGGTTCTCAACCTTCCTAATGCCGCGACTTTTTAATACAGTTCCTCATGTTGTGGTGACCCCCAACCATAAAATTATTTTCGTTGCTACTTCATAACTGTAATTTTGCTACTGTTATGAATCGTAATGTAAATATCTGATATACAGGATGTATTTTCATTGTTACAAATTAAACATAATTAAAGCATAGTGATTAATCACAAAAACAATATGTAATTATATATGTGTTTTCCGATGGTCTTGAGCGACCCCTGTGAAAAGGTCGTTCGACCCCCAAAGGGGTCGCGACCCTCAGGTTGAGAACCGCTGTGTTAGTAGAAAGCACTTGTGGAGAGATTACCAGAGAAACCAGCTTTGCCTAGAGTTGTAGTTCTTCACATGTCTAGTCTTATGTTCATTCATCTGAAGGCATTAATATTTTCAATTACACCTTTTTTTTAATTGTGTATCTTTTCAAGTTTCTCTCGACCCCCAAAGTACATCCAATTCAAACATTATTAGGTCAGTGTTTAGACTGATCTCTCAGTCACATTGCTGTCACTAATCTTCTTAGAAAAGTATTGAAAATAATTTCATTTAATCAATTTTTGTTTTTTAATATCATTTACTATCAATAGCTATGTGCTGCTTCTTTAAATGCCTATCAGTAACAGGTAGAAGTACCCCAGATTTAAATCTACCTAGTGACCTGACAGGTATACGGGCAGTCCAGCACTCCTTGACAACAGAGGGTCTGGTCTGTGAATAGCCCGTCTGGGGATTGTCTTCATGTGTTCAGACTTGCCCTCCCTAACTCGGCTGACTGATGTAGCACTAGATCTGTGAACCAGAAAATCCTGTGCAAGAGAGTGGAGAACAGAAAAAGGAGGCTCAATTTCCCTTTATGATAGAGGAGGTTCCTTGGAGGAGGGAAAAAAGTTCCTTGATTTGGAAAACAAGAGAACTCCAAAGGTCTAGGGAGCTCTAGAGAGAGGTTGAACTACTGGGTAACAGGAAACCCTAGGAAGAAAGAAGATTTACTAGGTCCTTTGACTTGAAGAAAAGCTTTTGTCTTTTTCAAAGACTTTATATACTTCTGACCTACGTTTTATATAGTATTTTGTGTTTAAATTTAGCATTATTTTATGTGTTCTTTCTATGTAGTCACATAGTCTAAATATTTTAATCTCATTGCATTCATAGTTACATAGTGTATTTAAACATTTCCAGTAAGTCGTTTACAGTTATTTCATATTAGAAAAAATACAAATAAAACCATATTTTTTTCAGAGTCTTTCTTTGAGTCCTGGTTCTAAAATTGGAATTATTGGGTTATTATATGATTAGTTGTATGTATCTTTTTCATATTCCCAGTTCTTTGAAAATATTATATTAATTTACAGTGTCTCCTGCCCACCAAACAGTGGGTTTTATGATCGCATTTTCCCCCCTCATATTAGATAAGGCATTTAGCTGCTTTATTTTGCTAAGCCAAACGTTGTGCCAAACATTGGTTTGCTATTTGTATTTTTATTCTAATGGGAACTCTATTCATATCTTAAGTAGTCTAATTTTCTGATTGTTTTAATCTTATTGTCGTAGCCAATAAAAATATATTGGGGTATATAAAAATATATTGGGGTTGCCCTAACCGGTTTGGCTCAGTGGATAGAGCATCGGCCTGCGGACTCAAGGGTCCCAGGTTCAATTCCGGTCACGGGCATATACCTTGGTTGCGGGCACATCCCCAGTGGGGAGTGTGCAGGAGGCAGCTGATTGATGTTTCTCTCTCATCGATGTTTCTGACTCTCATCCCTCTCCCTTCCTCTCTGTAAATATCAATAAAATATATTTTTTTAAAAAAATATATATATAGGGGTAGTTCGTATGTCATGTAAATCTAAATATACTTTCCCCGTTATATGCAAGCCTATCAAAGAAGCAGGTTTTAACTGTCACAAGAGTGGGTAGGCGCTGCACAGGGCTGGATTAAAATCAGGGAACAAATCAGCTCAGGTGGCAGGGCTCTTGGCTGTCCGGTGAAGCTGGGAGTGTGGTAGAGATGCTGGAGTTGATAATGGAAAAATAGTAACCTTTTTTAAAATTTATTTTTATTGATTTCAGAGAAGAAAGGAGAGGGAGAGAGAGATAGAAACATCAATGATGAGAGAGAGTCATTAATCAGCTGCCTCCTGCAGGCCCCCTGCTGGGGATGGAGACTGCAACCCAGGCATGTACCCGGACTGGAGCAGAACCTGGGACCTTTCAGTCTGCAGGCCGACACTCTATCCACTGAGCCAAACCGGCTAGGACAAAAAATAGTAATATTTTATAAAAATAATGAGTATCAAGTCAAGTGATATCAAGAAATGGGCTAGAAATCAAAGTGAGATATCCTGCCCTCATCTCAGAGAATCAAAGCAACTGAACATGCAGGTGGATCGCAGGCACCCCTGCCACTGACTACTGGGTTTCTGTTCTTTAATTCACAAGAATGAAAATTGCTTAGTGTGAATGTACATTGAGAACAGGGACTCATATCAATTCTTGCACCACTCCTCGTTTAAAAATGAGAGCAGTTATGCAGTGTGTGTGTGTGTGTGTGTGTGTGTGTGTGTGTGTGTGTGTGTAAAAACAACATATTCTCTTATAAACTTACTTTTTCCCCCACAAGGTATCTGTTGGTATATGTGGTCCAGAGAATTTAAATAGCTTAAAAAAAAAAACTCCCTCTAATGTGTGTTTCCCAATTTAAATACAATTTACTGAAATATTTTCTTTCTAGTCTCCAGAGAATACAGAGGGCAAGGATGGATCCAAAATAACTAAACAGGAGGTAAGTGTATCTTTGACATCCTGTATTCAGTTATGTAACTGGAATTTTTAATATTGTTATGATTGTCTGCATCTGAATGAATACTATTCCTGTACAAGATTGTTGAGACTACATAAGCCAGAGAGTGTCACTGTGTAGTCTCCCTTGGCCTAGGTATATTTCAGTCGGGTTCACAGATGAGTCATTTTCCACTTACTGTGTTGCTTATGTTTCTACCTGTGGGTCCTGCTGTCTTATTAAAGCAGATACTGGGAATTCCTTCTGGGCAAAAATCGAGATAATAGGTAAATTCATCAAGGAGAACAAAGTCTGCCTTTCACATCAAGAAAATCAAAGACTGTTGATTTAATAAATTCTCTGCTCCAGTGAGTGAATTATATATTACTTTTTAGGTTCTGAAATTTGCCTAAGGAGTCGTGTCTAAAGCCAGAAGCTATGGAAGGATACACAAGATGTCAAAATACTAAAGTTGGGTTTTTTAAATCAGAAAAAGTCTTAGGGCTTAGGATAGTTAATTAGGCAATAATTCAAAGAAGCTCTGTATTGATATACAGAAACCTCCAAACAGCTAGGATCTTGGAAGAGATGCTTGCATTTGACCCGCTGTGCTAATATCATGAACTTCTAAAGGAGGTGGATGAAAAAGTAGCAAGTGAGATGGTAACTATGGTGACAGTCATTCATTTTTGCACAGTTTGCAGTGAACTTATAAACTAAAATGGGTCATGAGATAGATAAAAACAATGTCTAGTTACAGATTCTTTGATTGGGTGGTTCATATTGAGGATAATAATCCAGAAGAGTTTATCGTGGTAGTAAAATCTGTACAGAGGATTTGTACAAAGAAATTCATTCTGCCAAGTGGAAAACCTTTAACAGAATCTATAAAGAAATAATTTAAAAGCAAAACAAAACTGCCTATAACCACGTCCCCACCATCCGCCTACCAAGCATTCAGTCTAACAGTTTGAGAGGTGAAGTTTGTGATCCAAAATCAAGTCACTATACTAATGTTAGAACCAACCAAAAATTATGAATGTTTGAATTTTCTTGAAAATATAATTTGTAGGACAGTTGGCTACGTGTAACGAACGTTAATGTTTTTAGATTTGGGCATGAAATGCATTTGGGTTTCTCCCTGGGGATTGCTATTGAAATTGATCTGTCAGTCAGAAAATCTAGAAAGCCCTGCACACAATAGATCTTGGATAGGGAAAACAGTCTTTCCGATCCTTCTTCACTAAAAGCAATAGAGCTGCATAGAATATATGTAAAATAATTTTGCTTCTACAGCTGTCTCATACATATTGTTTTGGCCCTGGAATTTTTATTATTTATATTACAGGCACACCTCATTTTGTGATTCACTTTATTGTGCTTTGCAGATCTTGCATATTTTACAAATTGAAGGTTTATGGCAACTGTTGAAGGTTCAGATGGTGTTAGGCATCTTTTAGCAGTAAAGTATTTTTATTGAAATATGAACATTGTTTTTCTAGCATAATGTTATTGCACACTTAATAGACTGTAAACACAACTATTATATGGGCTGGGAAATCAAAAATTTGTGCAACTCGCTTTACTGAGATATTTACTTTATTGAAGTATTCTGAGAGATATGCCTATATTATTATTTTTTAATTATTATTTTTAATATTCTATTTTATATATTTATATGTATTATAGTATTGTTAACCAAAATATTTCCTAGACAAGACTCTACTTGTCATTTAAACTAAAACCAAATTAAAACTCATGATATTCCTTCAAGACATCAACACAATTGTTTGAAAAGTGAGAAGGTCAGTGGGTTAGCTAGTGATTTAGGGTTTAGGGTAAGAACTGTGAGACAGTTATTGATTGATTTTACCCCCCACTGAATTGTTTAGATTTTCTAGTGAGGCCATTGAGTGTGCTCAGCCCTGACTATAGCGAAGGTACCAAGGATTTAAAGAGCTTCTATTCCTTCCGTGATATTTGCAGGGTGTGGTGCAGGTTAGTATTTGGACAATAAATGACCAAAACAATATATTACAGTCATTACACTTGGCCGTTTACAAAGCCCTTTTGCATACATTCTTTTTTTTCTGAACCTTACAATAACCCTGGAATGAGAGCAAAACAGATTCATTCCTTGAAAGAAATGTATTGAGCACCCTTATGCACCAGGTGCTGTCCTAGGCTCTGCAAGAGTCCTCAGTGAACAAAAGAAGCAAAAATCTCTGCCTTCATGGAGCTTCCATTTTAGCAGGGGAGAGAGTAAAATAAAACAATTGGATATTTGCTATAAAGAAAAATAAAACAAGGGAAGGGAATAGCGAATGTCAGAGAAGTGCTGTTTGATAATAGGCGATGTTATTGTCTTCATTTTCACAAATGCAGTGTCCTCAGAGACATATATGGTTTTCCCCACGTGTCGCAACCTGTGAACTGCAGAACCAGGACAGGTAGCTGCATGTCCTGCTTCAGAGTCCTCAGTCCCCGTGCCCCTTCCGTGGTCATCGTAAAACTCTGATCGCCCAGTGCTTTTCTCGGCCAAGGCTCTGCTTTACATCTTTCCCTCCCTCCCAGTTCTGCAAAGGGCATTTCTATTCAGTTCCTCGTTTGTTTGGGGGAATTAAAAGCAGCTTGGATTTTGGTTTTGTTTGAAAGTTCCTGGTCAGACTCAGGAGCATGAAGAAATCTCATAAAAAGTAAACATGTTTACAAATTCCAATGGAATGACCCATATACTTCAAGCAGTATTCAGCAAAGTCCAAAGATTCTACTTGAATCTAGCTATCTCTATCCCAGTGAACTTTGTAATAACAAGGTTAGACTTCCATGTTGCTTTTGCCTCTAGGACATAAAAGTAAAAGAATCCATGTCTTTCAGAGTAGCCTTCACCAGAATTGTCTCCAACCCAGGGAATGGTAAGCTAGTTAGTAATTGCATACTGAATAATTCCATTGTGACCAGCACCTATATAGCGCAGTGACAAATCCTCACATTTTTCTGTAGCTCTCTTGGTGACCTATCATTCTGAAAGTCTTCCTTCCTTCTTTGAGGACCATTCTTTTGGCCACTTTTCCTGAGGATTCACAATCAACAAATCAAGAGAAATTCTTACTATATTTATTTTCATAGCGGTCCTGCATCTCAAATGAATACTTCAATAACCTGAGTCTCAAATGAATACTTCAAATTTGAGTGTTTCAAAGAGGAAAGCAATACCAATCTAGTCTATTTTATGTCCAATAAATATAGTCCAATCATTGACAGACTTTAAGGCTATGAACGCTGATAGAACTTTCCAGGAAGGTGTACACCAAGCATGTCAAACTCGCACATGTACCCAGTTCTGCTGATTAAGTGAAAGGTTCCTCTCAGCCTCCACTGTTTTCAGTGAAAGAGAAAATCTCTTCTGTTGGTTCCCAGAAAGGAAAATTTAAGAAAATTCTTTTTTTTAAAATAGCATAGAAAGAAGAGCTGGTAAATTGTCGGCAGGCAGTCATAAAGTGATTTTACAGTAAAAGATGTGCTTTTTAGAAATTAGTTACTTTAGACAGCCCAGAGAAAAAACTTTGTTTTTGCCTTAATTTCCTGACCTAGGCTTTTGATTTTCCAGCTCTGGTCCTGGGCCTGGATTATAAAAGGGCAGGGAGCCTTTGCATCAGAGCAGCTTCCAGGCCCCGCAGAGCGGTGCTTTGGCTGGAATGTCTCTCTGGAAATCCCACCGGGCTCTCTGACGTCACCCAGCCTCTTCGGGTGGTTGGGTGTTCACATTGGGAGAAAAGGAGCGATAGCAAATGTGGGGGAATTTTTTATGTGCTTTGGCCTCACTTCAGTGATTATCAGGACAGCTAGTTGGCGGTTAAGGAGGCAGTTATGAGTAATGCTTAACATATTTAGCCCCTTTCAGGCCCTGCACTGAATAGGGCCTGACTGAGTGCAGGCATACATCAGAGATATTGCAGGTTTGGTTCTAGACCAGCCGTGGGCAAACTATGGTTTGAAATGAATGAAACTATTGAAAAAAAAAGGCCGTACCCTTTTATGTAATGATATTTACTTTGAATTTATATTAGTTCACACAAACACTCCATCCATGCTTTTGTTCCGGCCCTCCGGTCCAGTTTAAGAACCCATTGTGGCCCTCGAGTCAAAAAGTTTGCCCACGCCTGTGACCTAGACTATCTTTCTAAGCACTTTCATGCTGACTGGGCCTTACTTTGAGACAGTGGGAGTAGCTCTTGAGGCCACACAGAAGCATCAAAGCTGAGCTCTGTTTGGTAATTGCCGGGTGCTCATTGCTCCTCCATGCTCTGACCCTGCATTGAAAAACAACTCACCACGTGCTGCCCGGTTTAACTGATAATGTTGCCTTTTCTTCCATCATACCAATTTATGCAACTCCCCATCCTGGGAAAGGCATCACAGATTTTGGGTTCTGGTTCCAGTGCGACGTGGTGCATTGTCATGATAATCCTAACAGACATGGTGGTATTCCCCATGGAGCATCTGACACAGGCAGTCCCCCCCCCGTGCTGTTGATGCCCAGC